CATGCACTCACAGCCACTCAGACCAGCTGAGCTGTGAGGGGCTTTTGCTGCTGGCTCTGACAACACAGAAGCACCGAGCATAGTGGTTTAGGGTGTAGCCTCAGGAGCTGCTGCAAATAATGGTGGTGTGGGCACAGGCTGGACACCTAAATCTCTATTTTCTCATCTGTAAAATGGCAAGTATTACAGTAGTCTATCTCTTTGGGTTGTGATAATTGAATGAATTAACATATGGGAACGTCTTAATGGGAATGGTGTCTATTTTATGGGAAACACTTGTTGTTATATAGGTAGTAAGTCACATTATGTCACCTATATCAGGGTTAGGTTACTCTTTCTTCATACATCTCAGATGCATATCATCTGGCATGGAATGAACTCTTGAGACAAACTTAGCAACTATACATCTCAAAATTTATGATTTCCTATGACTGGCTCCTTTGCTGAGAAGCAGCAGAACTAATAATTACAAGAAAATCAAATGGCATCCATTAGGTTAATTACTGAACGTTTTTAGAATTTGCTATTTACTTTTTGTTTAGATATTACGTGCAGAGCCACTACCATCACCGCAGCCATAGCCCCTGCCCCACCTCCACCACACATACCATTGCATGCGCACCAAGAACTCATCCGGAACAACTGGGAACACGAGGTTAGGACAGTAGCGGCCTGACCAGGTACCAGGTGAAACCATGAGGCTGGGAAGCTCTGTTCTATACTTCCTCTTCCAAGAGCTTTCCTACTTCTCACCCTTTCTCTTTTTCTTCATCACAATTACAAGAGGAAAAGATTCCTTAGCACCCATCTGCTTCTTACTATTACTGCTTTTTAATTTTATTATTGACAATATTATGTAAAGATGTCCACCAGTTACCACCCTCCACCCCCTTTATCCCTCTCTTCCCAGCCCTACCTTGCCCCAGACCTTCACCACACTTTTTTCCCCCCAAGTTTAATCTCCAAGTTTTTTCCTTCCTTCCTTCCTTCCTTCCTTCCTTCCTTCCTTCCTTCCTTCCTTCCTTCCTTCCTTCCTTCCTTCCTCCCTCCCTCCCTCCCTTCCCTTCCCTCCCTCCTTCCCTCCCTCCCTCCTTTCCTCCCTCCCTCCTTTCCTCCCTCCCTCCCTCTCTCTCTCTCTTTCTTTCAATTTCTTTACTGTTGAAATTACATATATCTCCTTTTGCCCTTTCCAAACCCTCTCCCACCTCCCAGCTCAGGCCCGCCCCCCATTGTCTGTGTCCATTGATTATGCTTATATGCATGCACACCCCATACCCACACCACCCATGCTTTCCCTCTGAGGTTTGATGGTCTGTTCCATGCTTCTCTATCTCTGGATCTGGGATGTCAGTTTGTTCCATGCCTCTATGGCTCTGGACCTATTTTGTTGTTATATCCTTTGAAAAATGGTACTGATGGTTATCCCATGATGCAGTTGGGAGAGTTAATATACATTGGAAACAAAATAATTTTTATTTTATGCACTAATTCTTTAGTTTTGTGCTGAAATTACATACTTACTTGCTTTAGCCTTACTGAGGGATAGAGGATACCTTTTTGTCTTCCTAAACACTTAGTGCAATGTCATACACACAGAAATTTTGTCATTCATTCCACAAATGTTGGTTGGGCACTGTTCATGTGCCACTCTCCTGGGTTCTATGTTTACTATCCCAACTTGGCTTGATAAAATTTTGCTAAATTGACCCTCCAATTGTATTTACTATGCATTTAACTTTCAGATAAGACTGAAAAATGCATCTTATTCCCCTTTAGTAGTGCATGGAGGTTTACCTGGACCTAGACTGTGTGATTAAATAGGACAGAAATACATTCTACAGCACATGAGATGGTGCTGGTGACCCTGGTCTCTATTGTCCTACCACATTCCATTGACTACACATGTCCATTGTGGTCTCAAGGATGTGTTTTTTTTGTTTATTTTAAAGTCTGTCTCATTCATTAGTCTGAGAATCCCTGAGAATAGCAGCTATGCATTTTTTACCTTTGCATTTCCCTCTGTCTTCAGAAATAGTTCAGCGATGAATTAATGGGTGCTCAATAAAGTAATTATTGATAAGGGAAAATAGTGGAGAGGAGGGTAAAACTGACACCATTGTAATGAGCTCAGTTATTCATTAAATAACAGAAAAGGAGCAAAGGAAAGGCCAGATAATATGGGCATGCCATTTGTGCCGGGAAGCGTTTGACACTACAGGTCTGTTTGCCCAAGATCCCTGGGGCAGGGACTGGACAAAGAAAGAGGAAGTGCATGCCCAATAATTTCTAAACGATGAAGGGAAGGCGATTATCTGGCAGTCACACGTGGGAGCAGGTCATTGGCCAGAACAGGCTTGGCCACTGCAAGGGTGGGAAATCTGAGATACACAAGCTCCTAAGAAAGGAAGGTCTCTCTCTTGGCCCTCGTGTTGTAGGTGGTGTGCTCCCGTGCATTCGCCCACAGGCCCACAGCCATGTGGACCCCACACAAGAGGCTGACGAACTAAACTTAGTTTGATGCCCTGCTGGACTCAGCTCCAGCACAGAAACACTGGACATGGCTTTGCTTTTAGCTCTGCTGAATCCCCAGCTGCACATTTTCCAGATCTGATAGGAAATGGGACTTTGAAAATCAAGGGAAATAATTCCATGCAAATAAAACTTTCTACCTCATATCATCCTGTGGGTATTTTTTATAGCAGCACCTCCCTTCTCAGTACCAAATTACTATCTTAATCCACTTGGGCTGCTGTTACAAAACTACTGCAGACTGGTGGCCTAAACAACAAACTTCTATTTCTCAAGGTTTGGAGGCTAGTCAGCCCAAGATCAAGGTGCTGGCTTATCCCCCCTCCAAATGCCTGCCTCCAAACACCATCACATTGGGGTAACTAATTCATAAATTTTGGAGGGAATATAAACATTCAGTTTCTAGCAAAGACTTAATCACAAGTCCAAAAATAAAACAGTGTTTTATTATAAGCTACTGTACTAGTGGCCCGGTGCACGAAATTCGTGCACGGGAGGGTGTGCCCCTCAGCCTGGCCTATACCCTCTCCAATCTGGGACCTTTTGGAGGATGTCTGACTGCGGGTTTAGGCCTGATTCCACAACTGGCAGTCAAACATCCCTCTCACAATCCAGGACCAGTGGCTTCTAACTGGTCTGATCGCCCCCAACTGCGCCCACCTTGTAGCCTGATTACCCCTAAATACCAGCATTCTTTCCCCCAACTGCCCCTCCACCGGCCTGTTCGCCCCCAACTATCTCTCCTGCCAGGCTGCTCACCCCCAACTGCATCCCCCCACACTGGCCTGATCACTCCCAACTGCCCCCCATGCCAGCCTCCCAACTGCCCCCACTTCAGGCCTGCTAACTCCCAAATGCCCCACTGCCAGCCTGCTTGCCCCTAACTGCCACCTCTGCTTGCCTGCTCATCCCCAACTGCCCCTCTGCCATCCTGATCACCCCCACTGTCCTCCCTTCCTGGCCTGATCACCCCCAACTGCCTCTGCCTCAGCCCCGCCACCCTGGCTTTGTCCAAAGGACGCCTGGAAGGTCTCCTGGTCTAATTAGCATATTACCCGTTTTTTAGTATAGGTTATATTTATTTAAAAATCAAAAACAATGTGAAGAAAACACACATTTCAGAGAGTACTTTTCAAAATTAATCTGACCTACTTTACACAATAAAAGATCATTAAGAAAGATAGAAATAATATGAACTGGAGTATAAAATATGACATTCTTTCTTAAAGAAAGAGGAATTACGGTAACTGTAAGATACAAGTTAATACCACAAAAACTTACAACAAAAATTTAAAATGTCATATGGTAAAAATAATTTTTTTAGTATTATACAGCAGGTCCTGAAATGGCATATAGTCAAGTAAAAATGAAAAGTTTATATAAATTTTCTGAATATGATTTTATTTTATATAGAAAATGTTAGACATTATTATAAGGAACAATATATATCAATATATATGTGAAAGAGTACAACTGCATTTTCAAATACAAGGTAATTAGTATTTTAGAAAACAGCAGTTTTTCCATTTTTTTAAAAGCTAGCAGTCATGCATAAAAATGAACATTACAAGAAACTGAGTAGACAATTTTTGCCATGAAAAGATGAATATAAAACCTTCTTTTGATGAATATCAGCTTTTGATGTTGTTTGAGTTGGTTCACCTGGCCTGCTCCACGATCTTTTCCACTTGATATTGTTGTAAACAACCCATTTTTCATCGCCAGTTATCAGTCGTTTTAAAAATGGATCATTTTCATTACGTTTCTTTAGCAAATCGCAGCTGCTAATGCGTGCGTTAACTGTGATTCTTTCAGTTCGTGAGGAACCCATGTATCGAGTTTTTGAACATAGCCAAGTTGTTTTAAGTGATTTTCAATGCATGTATGTGATACATGAAGCTTCTCTGCAATCTCACGTGTTGTACTGTGACAGTCCAAATTGATTATTGCTTTGATTAGGGCGTCATCAACTTCAACTGGACGACCAGAGAGTTTTTCATCTTTGAGTGAAAAATCACCAGAACGAAATTTGGCAAACCAATTTTGACACTGCCGTTTTTTTAAGGCTTCGTCACCATAAACAGCACATAACTTTTTATGAGCTTGCGATGCGTTTTTCCCTTTGCGCAAATAAAAAAGCAAAATATGACGAAAATGTTCCTTTTGATTTTTCATTTTTCAACGAATGCCAAACGAAAACTACAAAACAGATCAAAAAACTTTTTTTACTGATTAACAGCTGAATAGCCAACTATCAAATAACAAAATGTGTTTTACATTTGTACTACGTCTGCAAACCTAAAAATTCAACTGAAGCCATATATGTGTGAAACCCGCAATTACTTAGTTGCCGACCCAATAATTAAAAACTTAGGCAGTTTTCTTCTACTTCAATAAGAATTGTGGGTAAAGGCCCTATTATCAGAATAACTAAACCTAAGAGCACTCAGATGATTATTATTATTTATTAATAAGAAGCAGAAGAACACATTCCATTCTATGTACTGGCTGTGTTAGACAGACACACAGTACATGTCAGACAGGCTGCTAAAGTGCAATAAAAGCAAGTGATTTATCACAGTGTAGTCACTGACATAGCATGTTAGTTAATACAAACAAGTACAATTTATACGTTAACTACATTGATCTTATATAGTCTGTATCCTATATAATCTTATCCTATGTAATCTATAGAAAGTTTATTGTTTTATTATCTTTGCATAGATACAAATTTATCTATCACTTAAAAAGCAGCAAAGCAATAGTAAGCAGTGTCAAAATTTATACAAAATTTCTAGATCTTGCTTTTACAAAGTGCTACTCAGACCGTCACATTTTAAAATTTGAAAACAAAACTCTAGCTCCTGTCACTCAAACAGCACATTTTTTATCAGGATCTTCTTGAAAGAAAAAGTTATCTCCTCAGCCTTACAACGAGGGAGACAGAGGTTCACCAGGCAATCTTAGAGGTTTGGCTGCGAATATTTTATATATAAGGCATCTGTGACCAAAAGAGGTAAATGTATTAAATACAATCTTCTGACAAGGGCACTGATGCCTCTAAGTTGCTAAGAGATCCACAGGAGCTGTGGTCACCCTTTTCCCTGATAGTCTGACTTTGTCTTCAGATATAAGGCAGTTCCTGGCTGTCCACGAACAAGGGGACAAGCATGGAAAACATAAAGCTTAAGATAAAAAACGTTTTATTTGATAATAAAATCAAGTTTTCCATTGAAACTTTCATAAATTTTGCAAGATGAGGGAAACATGTGCACAGGGAAAATGTTCCTTGTACAATAACAGCATACTTCTGCCTGCCTTCCTTTTTTCTTTTTTTTTTAAGATGAAGAATATCGTTCTTTTCACCTCCAGTCAAATTTGTCGTTGGTGACCATTACCTATCAATGTGAGAACTCTGGGGCTCATATTCCCCTCTCTTATATTGAAGTGTTGTTCAGCTCATCACATCTACATTACTTGGTTCACGAGCCAAAGCTTTTTCAGGATGAACTCCTAGTACACCATGTAGACAACGAGACAGATTCTCAACTGAAATGCAGTTAGATCGTGTTCTTACCCTCTCAGGCTGCCTGTCAGCGCCAACATGAAATAAAAGTAATCTGCAAAAGCAAATAATTGAGGGTTGACTGTAAGCCCAGTACAACTTTTCTAACTTTTTAAAACCATAATGCTGATTTTCTGTGTTCTTCTATCTTGTTCTTCTATCTTGCTGTGGTGATCTTTCATAATACATGAAGTCCTGAAGTTGGAAAAAGAGAGAGAGAGAGGGAGAGAATTAGGTATAGAAATACATAAATAATTTGGTGTAATGCATAAAATATTATCCTTTATACTTTACCTGGAAATCCTCCCAGACCAGTTAAGAAGTCTGATAAATCTTTATAAAGAGGACTTAATATAAAGAGCAACAATTACATAGTTGAACCTGTTGGTAGCCAATATGTACTCCATTTGGGATACTAATTAAATTTTTATTGTTAAAGGAAGAAAAACTTAGTAATCAATATTAAATATATTGATTATATATACTAAATATACCAACTGCAATATATTAGTGAGATTTTTGGTAAATATTATTAATTTTATTTTTATGCTTATAACTATTAACCACTAATTAGTCAGAAATACAGCAAGGGGACGGCACCTAATAAATCTAAGGATAGTGTAACACCTAGCAGTTCACTGGCAGAGACAGTGAGGCAGAGGATAGGGACATCAGCTTTGAAGCTATTTTATTTCATTAAGAAGTCACAGGATAGGCTTTAAAAAACATCTATTTATAATAATAAAAGCATCCTTCCGGACAACTGCCGGACGAAGTTGGGGCTGTGAGGGGAGCCCGGGTTCCGGGTGCCGAGGGGAGCTGGCACTGGCAGCCGGGGGAAGGAAGGCCTAGTCTTGCATGAATTTCACGCATCCGAATACATATATTGATTTCAGTGAGGGAGGGAGAGGGAGAGAGATAGAAATACCAATGATGAGAGAGAATCACCGATTAGCTGCCTCCTGCACACCCCATACTAGGGATCGAGCCTGCAACCTGGGCATGTGCCCTTGGCCAGAATTGAACCTGGGACCCTTTAGTCCCCAGGCGGACACTCGATCCACCGAGCCACACCAGCCAGGCCAGGCAGGCTGTTCTGAGTAGTAAAGGTAATCAATGACCTGCCATGATGATCCCATTGGATGCCAAATGCCTTCCAAGCACTCTCTCGCCCCTTTATTCCTATGATAACGGACATTTACAACCTTGAAAATATAAGTATTTTTGTCTCTAGTTGACAGACGAGGAGGCTGAGGCTTGCCAGTGCTGAACACTTTACAAATCATGTAACTAGTAAGTGGTAGGGACAGAACTTGGTCTAATTGCAAAGCTATTGCCTTTCTGCTACCTGCTTCTTATCAGGAAGAATAATTCTCTCAAGGCAACTCGAAAGCAAAAGGCTTACGATGAGGAAGCAAGCTCCGAAGATCATGGCCTTCATCCTCACGTCCAGGTCCAGCGGGAAGTGGACGTCGTAGTGGTCTGCCTGGCCCATGGCCGACATCAGGCCGTGCCACTTCCGGACGACGCTGCCGGCGCTGGAGACGCCGTCGATGCCTCTGACCTAGGGGATGAGAATGGGACTCTGGTAACCAACACTGTACACCTCACACTGCTCAGGCCAGCGCCCGCCCTCCTCCTCCAACGAGATGAGGGAGGCATGACCTGGGCTGGCTTTGAAGTTCTCCTCCATGGCACAGAGGGTGGGAATGGGGGATTAGAAGGGAATTTCTCTTAGTCTAGGGAAACGTGAGGCATGGTTCTGTGCACTTCACAAGCTCCATACAATCCCTCAAACTTCTGTTTGCCACACAAACCCACCTTCTTAAGTTATGCCAGGGCCCAAGGGACTCCAGCCTCTATAAGGGGAACGCTTATAGAGGGAGGACAGCCAGACACTGGCTTCCGGTGATCAGAATGACCCCACATTCCTGACCTGAAACCTGGCTTATCTGTGTTTCTATTTCTCCACAAGGCCTTTTAAAAATAAGCACTGCTCGGTGACATGGTAAGATAAACTGATCCTGGGCGATACTAGAAAGAGCAATTTTAGAGGAGGAGCTTCGCTGACTTACAAGGCATTCGGAAAGAATTCCAAGAAGCTCAGGAAACATTTCTAGGCACCTCCTTTGTCAGATTCATAGGATTATAAGCAATCGTTTTGTATCCATAGAGATCAAAGGGAAAATAAAGGGTTTTTCCTTTTCCTGAGAAAATGTTGTCGCTGAGTTTCATCTATGTGACCAGCATGGTCCTGTCTCCTGAGACACAGACTTCTATTCTGCAAATAAGCAACGTGCACAGCCGTGGGCCACAGGGTGTGCGAGGAGGTGGCACTCTCATTCCTCAGGACATACTTTCTGATCCTGGAAATCTTCGGCAAGAAACAGTTAAATACAACCAAGAATAAAACAGATTTATGTCAGGCTACTTACTCTCAGGACTGCTTTCTCAAAACCCCCCCCCCTACCTTTTACTACATTTAAAAAAAAATTTATTATTATTTTTTATTGATTTTTTACAGAGAGGAGGAGAGAGGGATAGAGAGCTAGAAACGTCGATGAGAAACATTGATCAGCTGCCTCCTGCTCACCCCCTACTGGGGATGTGCCCGCAACCAAGGTACATGCCCTTGACCGGAATCAAACCTGGGACCTTTCAGTCCGCAGACCGAGGCTCTGCCACTGAGCCAAACCGGTTTCGGCAGGACTCATGTTTTAATGGTTTCACTTATCTTTACAAAACACTAAAATAACTTTTAAAAAGTCTTACATTTTAGAAAACATTAAGCAACCCATTAACAATAATCTGAAAGTCACATAATGTCAACCAGTTAACTCCTCACACTAAGTACTGATTCACAGGAAAAACGATCTAAACCAAATCGTTCTTCAACCTGTCAGTACGCAGGAAAACGGAAGAAACATTCTTTGCATTTGTTTACCTGAAACACAGAGTCCGAGCCACAGCCACAGGTGGAGCAGGGCCCGCGGATGCTCAGCACTTTTTCCTTCTTCTCGTTCTGGATGCTGTACGCCACCTGGCACATGTTCCAGTGGTCCCTGACGAAGCCCAAGGTGCGGCCGGGTGGACACTGCACCTCCAGCTGCAAGTGAAGCCGGCAGAGGGAGGGAGTTACACACACACACACACACACACACACACACACACACACACACACCGATGTGCCCTTAATCCCTGTGGGGACTGGGAATTTTCACTCCGAAACTGGCTTCCTCTTTACCTGGCTGTTTCTCAGGCTTGTATTTCAATGAACAGCCTTGAGAATCGGGGTCATGTTCCCCCTGAGACAAAGTTACTGACTGTAATGGCGAGTTCTCCCAGCTCGGTGTCCTCCGCTGTGCACCCAGCGTCTCTCTGGGCTGCTCCGAGTCAACTGTAGACTCGGGGACAAGGGGACCTGCATAGACACACTAACACTCATGCTGCTGTATGTGCTTCTACAAAGACCATGTGTTTTATCCAGGTGTCTTACATGTCATGGCAGAATACACAGAAACAGTAACAAACCAGCTTCTTAGCTTTTCATGTCAGACATAACAATGATACAAGAAAACAAGCCAGAAAAGAAGCATTCTGGACACTGTGCTGGGGAAGCAACAGAATGTGGTATGTGGATATAAACCCAGTTTAAAGAGTCTTAAATGTTGTCCAATACTCTCTTCCAGCTAATTATCTTCACAGTATTCCTTTGGGAAGAACCAAGATCTTCATATTTAATAATATCAAGATTCACAAAATTAAATTATCTGTTAAAAGACCAGAGGAAACATTCTGGTGGTTTTCCTGGTGTTTTATATACTTTCCTGCATCTCATCACAGAGCAAGACTACACACCTTCATGAATTGTCAAATTAAATATTGTTGTTCATATATATAAAATCACACACATATACAAACATACAAATGTGGCAGCTTCCTGGGAGTGAGCTCTCATATAAGTTTAGTCTTGAGATAAAAAAATTGTATATAAATAAATTAATTTCATAAGAATCCATATCATTCGACCATAAAAAGGAATGAACTATTGGTACATGTCACAACTTGTATGAACCTCAATGTAAATTATGTTGAAAAAAGCCAGTCCTAAAAGGTTCCATACTGTATGAATCTATTTCTATGACGTTCTTCAAGTGACAGTTATGCAAATGGATGGAGAACAGATTGGTGGTGCTAGGGTTAGAAATGAAGAGAAGGAGGTAGTGTGGTTATGAAGAGTTTTTATGGCAATAAACTTCGTATTTGAATTGTGGTGGTGGATGCAGGAATCTACATAGCTGATAAAACACACACACACACACTCAAACTGGAGAAATGAGAAGAAGTGTAGATAATGCTGCGGGACAAAAATCCCACACGCCGGACTAAGGCTGTAATACTGATTGTTTTTGCTCCATCCTGGGTAACTACAGTCTTGAAAGGCTGCCCCTATAGGCTTTGATTTACAAAGCCCAACTCACAAATACACACACAGAAAAAACACCACACACACAAAAAAACAACACAATGCTTACTAAACAGAAGCAGTTTGCCCACTTGTAGCTCGCCCGTGATCTGGTCATTACCAGGTTGGTCGTTACGCTTCATGGTGTAACATATAGGACCAGCGATATGTTTACATTTAGCATACCTTTATCTGGAACATTTAGGTAAATGTGTGACTCCTGTTTGAGGTGACAGGTAAACTTCTAATTCAGTAGACATAGCTCATAGAATTGTGGTCGCTGAATAAATAATTTTGCGTGACCCACCCATTAGCACCTAAGAGCATAAATCCATAGAAAAAGCCCTTGGCTATTTGCCTGAGGTGAGGCAATTTGGCTTGCTCCCTTCTCACTGTACTGCTGCATTCTGACTGGCAGGGCCAGTGACTCCCCCGCCCCGGTGCAGTTTTGGAAAGAGCACAGCGATGAGTGAATAGCTGGATCAGAAAGAAATAACGGATCAGACTTCCATTCTCTAACCTCTTGCCTGGTGGAGGGACAACAGAAGCAACAGCAGGTGCATCGGAAGGGTCTCTGCATTGTCATGACTTCCCGGCCCATGGAGTCCGTGACCCGGAGGACAAAGGGCCTTAGTGTCCGGTAAGCATTCCTGGTGAAGTCATCTGTGTCTTCAGTTACAAAGTACACCATCTGGCCCAGGTTGTTTTTAACATCGTATTTGTTATTAATTTCAAAACGTGTTATCACTGAAAAATAAAATGAGGAAACTGTCTTACATTAGAAATAGTTAAAGTGGGTCTCAAAAGGGGAAATAAGAGATATAAACCTCCAATTATTAAAAACAAAAAAAGTTATAGGGATGTAACCTACAGTATAGGAAATAGTCAATAATATCCTGATAGCTTTGTAGGGTGACAGATGATAACTAGATTTATTCTGGTGATCACATTATAAGAAATATAAATGTGAAATCACTATGTTGTATAACTAGAACTAATATAATATTACATGTCAACTATACTTTAATAAAATATAAGTCCTTTTAGGGGCTTAAAGCAGAATAGCTTTGATAAAATTTCAGGTAAAATATGTATAATTGATTAGAATGTTAAAATAACTTGTAAACTTTGTAAGTATTTTAGTAATTTTAAAAATTTGAAACACTTATTTTAAGAAGTTCAGTGTAAAATGATGTTTAAACCTTTTCCATATGAGCAAAGATTGAAACAATATTCCTAGAGTACTTGAATTCAGAAAATAATTAACAACCATATAAGTGAGTAAGACACAGGGCTAGAACTCAGCAGATTTGCAGCTCTGCCTCTGACTAGCTAACTATGAGGCCCCTGACTGACTGACTTAGATTCTGGCTCCTTCTTTTTCTCATCCATGAGAAGTTAACATGGAGGAGCTTGGGTGGGTAATGGTAGGGCAGTTGTTCAGATAAAATGTAAACCTTTGCAAAGTCTAAAACTTAAATGCTATCTATAAATCTATAAAATTATCTAATACTTCTATTACACTAAAATGTGATCAATATAAAAAAAAGGAAATAGACATTAGATAATGGGCATTTCGACCTGGTTCAAATACTGCCAATCACTACCGAATTAATGATACATACATTCCAGAGGTTCAAAATGCTGAAAAACATGTATGTTGTCCAACTGTTGGGATAAAAAAAGCAATTAGAAGAACTAGAAATAACAGAATTAAATCAAATCAGCATTAGAAATTAAACTGTTAAATATTAAAATAGATCTATTGATACCAAAATATATTTTTGAAATAGAATGGAATAAAAAACATTTTGACCAAGTGGAATCAGCTTATGTACACCGCACCAGGTGGTTACTAGAGCTGCGGAGATAGGAAAAGCACTTTTCTCCAGTTCTCCCATGAGACTGGTGCACTTGTCTAGAGTATCGGAAAGCCACCGCCCACCAGTGACAGCATTAGCAGCAGCTGAGCTGACCCAGGCTGTCCCAGCTCAGTTCCTCTCTGGTCTCTCCAGCACACCACTCAGATGAGAGGCGGCAGGAGCGTCAGGACCTTCGGACAAGGACCAGCCGCAGAGAAAGACAGTTTCTCAGTGGCTTGGGAAGAGTGAACCAGGGTGGACTCCGCTCCACACAGGAGTGTCCAATTTTATAACATCTCCCAGGTACTTCTGGGAGGTTACCGTGCTGATTCCCACTTACTTGAGCTGTTAAACGCTAAGACCGTTCCTGGGCGCACACGTTGATTCTGGGAGGTCTGAGAGGGCAGGTGGACGTGAATGGACAGGAGGAGGGCAAAGGAGAGGAGACTTTTTGGGATGGGATCTCTTCAAACAGGAGGTTGGGAATGCAATTACAAATAAATGTCTAATTTCACTCAGGGATCTCTCTAAAGAGACACAGTTACATGGCGCATTCTCAGTCATACTTGAGGACATGCTAGCAGAAGAGAAAAAACTCCCTGAGGACAGACTGATTATATCTGTACAGTTTTAGATAATATAGATAATTAGACCATTCCAAATCCCTGAGTCCAGAATACTGCCTGAAATGCTACATTTCACCGAATACTTGTTGAATACATTAACTAATGAAAAATACACAAATGTGATTAATAAACAAAATGATAACTTGACATTAGTGTTTTGTGGTGATTGTTTATAGGAGGGTACAAAGCAGTGGTTCCCAGCCTTTATTTAAGCTTCTCTGAAGTCCCGATGCCCCCTGGGGAAGTATAATTCTTATATTTCAAAAAGTGAGCTCCTATCCATGGGGAGGAAGCCTAAAAGGCCATTCACTTGGTCTAAACAAGCTTCCAAAGAACCTGGCATCCATGAAAGAGAAAAATAAAACAAAAGGACAGCTGAAGTATTAAGGAAGAAATCACTAAGAAATTGTTAAAAAATTAATAATATGAAGTGATAGGAAAAATTACCAAATAAAGTTTCAAAACAGGAGAACTGAAATGTATAAATGTCACAATATATATTTATATATTGTATATGAGGCCCCTAGAACCATAAATATGAAAAATTCACTATTAATTCATTCTCAAATTGCCCCCCTTAAAAACCCAACTGCTCCCCTGTGGGGCGTGTCCCCACGTTGGGAACCACTGGTAGAGAGAGAACACAATCCTTCCTTCATTCAGAACTTTTCTTGTATGAAAACAAAATCAGGTGAGGGGCTTAAACGTGTTTTAAAAATATCTAAAGTGGCCACAAGGCAGGTGATGGCCCCTTTAAAAATCTAGAAAGTTGCCCTAGGTTTGGCTCAGTGGATAGAGCATCAGCCTGCAGGGTCCCACGTTCGATTCCGGTGAAGGGCACACCAGTAGGGGGTGTGCAGGAGGCAGCTGATCAATGTTTCTCTCTCATTGGTGTTTTTTAACTCTCTATCCCTCTCCCTTCCTCTCCGTAAAAACAACAACAAAAAAACTAGAAAGTTAAAATCTAGGATTAAATAAAAATATTCACTCTGTGATAAAAGCATCCACTGTTGAACAAAATTTTCTGAGGACAGGGCATCCATTAATGAGGAAGAAGGGTGCCCAGTAAGAGAGTATGGCTGTTAAGAAACAGCTCTCTAACAAACAGGCGGAGTCATGGTCTACGCCATACTCTAGGAATAACACAATCCTGCTACTTTAAATGCCACAATCTCGATAGTCCTGAGAAAGATTCATGTGAGATGGCAGAAAGGGTAGGATAAATAAAATGATAAAGAAGATGATGGGACAAACACAATACAAACAAACAAACAAACAGGAAGATGAAGGGCCCTGTGTCTTCTGCTCACATACAAGGCATTTGACCTAATAAACCCACAGCTGCCATCGATTGGGTGCGCCCCGTGTGCCAAACATTAGGCATATTGCAAACCCAGTCAAGGGGGGAGCAGAGCTAGAATTAAACTCCAGGTTTGTCTGGCTCCAAACCTGTTTTGTGTCTTTCTCTTTTTACTCAAAATATTCCTGGAAGGAAAAACAGAACTCATCAAATATGTTATATAACATTAGTCAGAGTAATAGAAGAAAAAGTTTTTTTTAATTTAAAGTCTTCCTTGTTTAAAGTATTATATGAGTCTCCTTCCCCCCACCCCCCATTGACCTCTCCCCGGCCACTCCCACACCCAGCCCAAGCCCTCACCCCTTACTGTCTGTGTCCATTGGTCATGCTCAGATGCATGCATACAAGTCCTTTGGTTGATCTTTTACCCCCTCAACCCCCACCTTCCCTCATAGGTTGGACAGTCTGTTTGATGCTTCTATGTCTCTGGTTCCATTTTTGTTCATCAGTTTATGTTGTTTAGTATATTCCACAAATGAGTGAGATCATGTGATATTTATCTTTCTCTGACTGGCTTATTTTGCTTAGCATAATGCTCTCAAATTCCATCCATGCTGCTGCAAATGGTAAGAATTCCTTCTTTTTCAGAGCAGTGTAGTATTCCATTGTGTAGATGTACCACAGTTTTCTAATCACAGTTGATAGGCACTTAGGCTGGAGAAACTGTTTTATTTTGTTTTTATATATATTTAAGTGAACAATATTGAAGCTATACATTTTCAAAAGAGAAATGACTCCAAATCTATGATTTCCAAGGACAATTTGAGTTCATTATCTTGTATAAGAAAAGACTTTCCAAAATTGAGTAACTTATACACATTTTATAAGCTTCTAAAACAATACAGAGGTAGTTTAATCTATCACTTTACCTGAATGACTGGCTTTGCATTTTATCATTTTTTTGCCAAAACAACAATTTAATAAAAATTTTGGCTCATGTAAAATCCAAATTTTCCCGATTCAACTCTACTGACTTGCAAGAATCAATAATATTACATTGTAGCCATGGTTTCAATGCAGAGGCTTATCAAGGTCTTTCTCATTGTACAAAATTGAAAAGAAAACATATCAGCTTAAAGGAGTATTTGGATGACTATATGGGAAGACAAGTATTGAATAGGCAATTTCCTTATTTGTAATGCATTTCAACACTTCCTTTTTCTAAAAGTGAAACACAACTCAGTTGTTTCGAAGGGACTTCCAAAACTAGCTTCATCTTATTTTCATTAAGCAATCCTTTTTAGTTTCTGACATGGCTTTTGAAACATAACATTGAGTACAGCAATCTGGCAAAGTGCCATTTCTGATCTGGACATCCGGGTAGCTCGGAATGTCTGCATAAAGGGAATCAGAGTCACTCTGCTTGGAGAAGCGGGTCTTTGGAATCTGGCCGGAAGCCGTATCTTTGGAAGGTCCCCTACTTTTATTCACATTGCACGTTTTTTGGCGGAAGAGGCGTGGAGGAGGAAAGCTATGGGTGGTGAGAAAAGCTGTGGGCTAAGGCACTCAGTAACTCATTCACTGTCTACTGTTTTGTTCTTTTTTACTAGTATGTTGCTTTCCTTCATGTGAACTCTGCTTCTTTGCAAATGACACCCCGATTAGGATCTTGGTTAGTTTTTATTATATTCATATTCCTATATTTTAAACTGCCTCTGACAGGGCATCATGAGTGTCTTAAAATTCAACATATATCCTTCAGAAAAACCATACTTATCCCACCAAAAACACGCTTACACTCTCTGACCTCCTTTGACATTTCCGAAATTAGTACCATCGCTCTTAGTCTCACAAATTAGATATCTACAGGAATATAAAGTCACCAGCCTGTTACTTTGCCCACTCAGATTTAGTCTTTTGTGTGGTCTTGAATCCCCAGTCGCCCTTCATTAGGAGATACAAACTGGATGTGTGAGAAGTACCTGGGTTAGGCATTCCAGACCAGGAGGGCAGTCGGGCATGGGAGTCGGCCCTGGCATCCATATTACTGGAGCAGACTGACTGGAGACTGGATATCTACCAGGCTGGTACTGGATAGGATGGGTACTACTGGGCGGCTGGCCGAACGGGAAGGCACCGGGCTGCTGCGGACCATAATATCCCATGGGCATGCCTCCTGGGTAGCCTGCCGGCGGAGGAACGTACGCTCCAGGGGGCCCTGTGTTAAAAAACAGATGAAAGTATTACATACCATCAACACTGCAATATACTGGAAGTTAGCATGACTCTTTACATGAAGATGTTATGGGTCACATAACACCCACTTAGAAACAAGAAGATTTTCTAGCTTCCGAGTGTGTACTGTTGTACCAACACTGTTCTAACGGTATTGCATATCAATGTACTTACTAGCAGTCCTCTTAAATTTTATGATATAACTAAAGGCCCGGTGCATGAAATGTGTGCATAGGGGAGGGGGGGCGCTTGGGTGGAGGGGTGGTGGTGGTGTCCCTCAGCCCAGCCTGCACTCTCTCCAATCTGGGATCCCTCTCACAATCCAGGACTGCTGGCTCCCAACTGCTCGCCTGCCTGCCTTCCTGATTGCCCCTAACCGCTTCTGCCTGCCAGCCTGATCAGCCAGTCTGATTGATTTCTAACTGCTCTCCTGCCAGCCTGTTTTCCCCCAACTTCCGACTTCCCTCCTTTGCCAGCTTGGTCACCTCTAACTGTCCTCCCCTGTAGAGTTGACCACCCCCAACTGGCCTCCCTTGCAGGCCTAGTGGGCTATTTCTTTGTCTCCCCATGGTCTCTCTTTTCAGGATGTCTGGTTATGTAGCTTTCTCCTTTCCGTGGGTGAGTGAAGAACTCCCTTGAATCCACGTATTTGCACCGATTGGGACATCCCAGCTGTTCGGGGGTCTCCACTGCTGTGGGCTTTTCAGGCCTCAGAGAAGATCCTCTTTTCTTTGTAAGGTGGAGCAGTTTTCCCTCTGAGCCCGGAGCTCCGGGAGAGGTCTCCGCCTCAGTGCCGGCTGCTTGGTCAGGAAATCCTGTCCAGCAGACCTCTACCTTCTCTTAGAGTTCTGCTACCTCTTAGCTTGCCAACTAACCCTTCCCGAGCAACTCTCAGGCGCTCCTTCTGTCTGCTCTGGGACTAGGCTCAGAACACGTCCATCTGTTCAGCCGCCATTTTGTCTCTCACCTTATTCCTGATTTTAATATTTATGTATTATTTTCTTGGTCAGTTTGGCTTAAGTTTTTCAATGTTGTTGATCTCTTCAAATAACCAATTTTTGGTTTTGTTGAGTTTGTCTCTTCTTTTTCCCCCTCTATTTCATTGACTTCTGCTCAAATGTTTAAGATTTCCTCCTACTTAATTTGGATTTAGTTTATTTCTAAGGTGGAAAATTGGATTACTTGAGAATTGTTATTTTTTTTAGATGTTTATAGCTATAAATTTCCTTCTAGTTACTGTTTTAGCTGAATCCCATAAACTTTGGTATATTGTGTTTTTGTTTTTACATCTCAAAGTTTTTTCTAATTTCTCTTGTGGTATCTTTTTGCTCCTTTGGTTATTTAGGATTGTGCTATTTTCCTGATATTTGTGATTTGGGGGGATAGATGAACAAGGTGAAGGAATTAAGAAGTACAAATTGGTAGTTAAAGAATATTCATGGGGATGTAAAGTACAGCATTGGGAATATCCTATATAATCCCATATAATAAAAGACTAATATGATAAGTGTCTGGTCGTCCATTCAACCAATCAAAGTGTAATATGCTAATGATATGCTAAACCGCTCACTATGACATGCACTGACCAGAAGGGAGCAGAGAGTCGACTGGTTCACCAGTCGCTATGATGTGCACTGACCACCAGGGGGCAGACGCTCCAACTGGTAGGTTAGCTTGCTGATGGTGTCTAGCCAATCGTGACTGAGCAAGACAGGCTAGACATGCCCTGGAGCCCTCTGAGGTCCCTCCTTGGCTGGCCAACCCCCTGCATCCTTATCCAGCCCTGATGGTGCACCAGTAGGGTCCCTCAGCCTCGCTTGTGCCCTCTCACAGTCCAGGACACCACAGGGAATGTTGGAGAGCCAGTTTTGGCCCGATGACAGAACGACCAGCCACTGTGATGCTCTCTGACCACCAGGGAGCGCTGTTCAGCCAGGAGCTGGGCTCACGGCTGGTGTGGGTCCCATGGCTCTGTGTGGCATGGAGGATGCTGATCCTGGCATCTCCACTGCCTTGTGGGGAGGAGGCGGGCTGCGGCAGTGGAGGGCAGATGTGGGCAATCAGGTCGGCAGGGGAGGGAGGGCAGTTGTGGGTGATCAGGCCAGCAGTGGAGGGCAGTTGCTAACGATCAGGCTGGCAGGCGAGCGGTTAGGAGGCGATTAGGTGGGCAGGCAGAAGTGGTTAGGGGCAATCAGGCAGCAGGCAGGCAGGCAGGCGGTTAGGAGCCAGCGGCCAGAGGTCCTGGATTGTGAAAGGGATGTCCGGACCTCTGGTAGTTACTAATATCGTTTTGTATACTGATATTTACTAAGGCAGTAGATATAAAGTGTTCTCAGCATAAAAAAGTTAAAATGTAACTGTGAAAAAAAGTCCTACCAATATCAGTGTGAGAAATACTGCCTTGTGGGATTTGTGCTGTTTGTTGTTTTTAATATTATCCTTTTTTTGTTGCAAGAAATTATGTCATTTTCACTTTAAATAGACCACATAAAACTAAGGTTTCTTTATTAAGTATTATTTCAAACATACATGGAACAACGTAATTTTGGGAAAGAATACATATCTGATACTATAATGCAAATGGAAATTTTGTAATTGAATTAAGTTAAATATTTTAAGTATTGTATTCAAGTTTCTTAATGTAAATCACAGGGACTAATCTGTATTACCATAAGAAAGTACACAGTTCAGCCACTAAGGGGTGGTCACAGAAAACTTACTATTTCATAACAAAATTCATTAGTTGTATGCTCTGCATCATAATATATTTCAACTTATCTAGTCATTTTATTAGAAGGATGTCTCCTACACTCTTGTCAATTTTTTGATATACCGAAGAATAAACACTTTCCTAGATGACCAGAATATGATTGATAATCAGTGTCTACATCTTAGGAATGGTGAAACGTCTGTTCTAGTGGAATCTATATGCTAGGATAGTGATTGGTGAAAATAAGATTGATTATGTAGATCAACAGTGAAATAAAACTACAGAGGAATGATGAAATACAGTAAGATTATAATTTCAGATTGTCAGAACCACAGGTTCAGCAGGGGAAAGCAGGGTCAGAGCCACATAACATGCACACACATGAGGAAAATGGAAAAAGAAAGCCCTGCTGCTTCTAGAAAACACTGCAGGGCGAAGGAAACCTGAGCTCCAAAGAACACACATCGAGGGTCAAAACAACTTCTCTGCCACTATCCTGTGGGCACTGAGGTTTCTTCTAACCTTTCACAGCTTAACTCAATGGTCTCCACCTCTAAAATATACACAAATATATTTTCAATAAATATTGCTATAATCTTGCCTATCATTTTCTAAATCATTAAAATGAATCTCTCTATATAAAAGTCTAGTGGTCGTTATGGCAGGATGACCAGAACAACGGGAACAACCAGAGTGACTGGTTGCTATGATGTGCACTGACCACTAGGGAGCAGATGCTCAACACATGAGTTGCCCCCCCCTGGTGGTCAGTGCGCTCCCACAGTGGGAGCAGCACTCAGCCAGAAGCCAGCTCAGGGCTGGCGAGTGCAGCAGTGATGGCAGGAGCTTCTGCAGCCTTCACAGCAGCACTGAGGAGTGGCAAGCCAAGAGCTAAGGAGCAAGCAGGCGGCCAGTAAGGAGCAAGCAGGTAGGCGATAGGCGATAAGGAGCGGGAGCCAAGCAGTAAGGAGCGAGCAGATGGGCAGTTAGGAGGGAGCAGGCGGGCATTTAGGAGCGAGGGTTCCCAAACTGCAAAAGGGCCAACGACCAGTTCAGGGACACACACCCCCATGCACACATTTCGTGCAATTGGCCTCTAGTTTGAATATAATCCTGGTGAAAAAGTTTCCTTAGAAAAATATTTTTAATATTATTTTTATAAAAAACAAGAGGCCCGGTGCATGAAATTCCTGCACGGGGGTGGGGGTGGGGGAAGTTACCCCTCAGCACAACCTGCACCCTCTCCAATCTGGGACCCCTTGGGGGTTGTCCAACTGCAGGAATTGGGCCTAAACCAGCAGTCGGACCTCCCTCTCACAATCTGGGACTGCTGGCTCCTAACTGCTCACTGCCTGCCTGCCTGATCACCCTCTAACCACTCCCCTGCCAGCCTGACTGATGCCTAACTGCCCCCCTGCTGGCCCCCAACTGCCCTCAAGGTTATTTGCCCATTTTTTAGAGTTGGATTGTCTTCTTTTGTTAAGTTGCATGAGTTCCTTATATATTTGGATATTAACCCTTTATCGGATGTATCTTTGCCAAATATGTTCTCCTACATACTGGGCTCCTTTTTCGTTTGGTTGATGGTCTATTTTGCTGTGCAGAAGCTTTTTATTTTGATGTAGTCCCTTTTCTTTATTTTTCTCCTTAGTTTCCTTTGTCCTAGTAGATCTACCATAAGCATATTGGTACAAGACATATCTGAGATTTTGCTTGCCTATGGTTTCTTCTAGGATTTTTATGATTTCCTACTTATAATTGTTTTATTCAATTAGAATTTATGCTTGTGAATGGAATAAGTTGGTAGTTTCAGTTTTTTACATGGATCTGTCCAGTTTTCCCAACATCATTTCTAAATGTTAGCTATTGTAAATTGTGCTGCTATGAACTGGTGTTTCTGTTATTTTGATTTGTATTTCTCAGATGATTAGTGACTTTGAGCATGTTTTCATATGTCTCTTGGCCTTCTATATATCCTCTTTCAGAGAGTATCTATTTAGGTCCTCTGCCCATTTTTTAATTGGATTGTTTATTTTTCTTTAGTTAAGTTGTATAAGTTCCCTATAAATTTTGGAGATTATACCCTTATCTGTGATAGCATTGGCAAATATGTTCTCCCATGCAGTGGGCTTTCTTGTTGTTTTGCTGATGGTTCTTTTGCTGTGCAAAGCTATTTATTTTGAGGTAGTCTCCTTAATATTTTTATTGCCCTAGGATCTGAATCAGGAAAAATACTACAAGGACATATGGCTGATATTTTGCTACCTATAAATTTTCCTAAGATTTTTATGGTTTCCCATTTTACATTTTGAGTTTATCTATTTTGAGTTTATTTTTGTGTATGGTATAAGTTGGTGGCCTAGTTCATTTTTTGCATGTATCCGTCCAATTTTTGCAGCACCATTTATTAAAGTGACTGTCTTGACTGCATTGTATGCTCTTGTCTCCTTTGTCAAATATAATTGAGCATAGTGGCTTGGGTCCATTTCTGGGTTATCTGTTCTGTTCCATTGGTTTATATGTCTGTTCTTGTGCCAGTACCATGCAGTTTTGAGAACAATGGTTTTGTAGGGATCTGGCATTGTGACCTTTCCAACTTTGTTCTTCTCAAGATTCCTACAGTTATTTGGGTTTTTCTTTATTCCAGATGAATTTTTGGAGTTTGTTCTAGGTCTTTGAAATATGCCATTGGTATTTTAATCAGGATTGCATTAAACATATAAATTGCTTTGGGTAGTGTGAACATTTTAATAATGTTGATTTTACCAATTCATGAACACGATATATTCTTGAATTTATGTCTTCTTCTATATATTTTTTTCAGTATCCTGTAATTTTTTGAATACAGGCCCTTTATCTCCTTGGTTAAATTTATTCCAAGGTATCTTAATTTTTTTGTTGCAATGGTAAATAGAATTTTTTTTTTTTAAGTTGCTCTTTCTAGGAGTTCATTATTGGTGTATAAAAAAGATTTCTGGGTGTTAATTTTGTATCCTGCAACATTGCCAAATTCATTTATTAGGTCTAACAGCGTTTTGGTGGAATCTTTAGGGTTTTCTATGTATAATATCACATCAAGAATAATGACAGTTTTCTTTCTTTTCCAATTTGGAAGCCTTTTATTTCTTCTTCTTGTCTGATCGCTATGACTAGCACTTCCAGGACTATGTTGAAAAGGAGTGGTGAAATGGGCATCCCTGTCTTGTTCCTGTTCTTAGAAGAAATGGTTTTAGTTTTTGCCCATTGAATATAATTGGCTGTAGGTTTGTTGTATATGGCTTTTATTATATTGAAGTATAATCCTTCTACTTCCACCTTGCTGAGAGTTTTTATTTTGTCAAATGCCTTTTCTGCAGTAATTTATATGATTATGTCATTTTTGTCTCTCAATTTTTGTGTGTGATGTACCACATTTATTGATTTGCAGATATTGTACCAGCCTTGCATCCATGGAATAAATCCTACTTGGCCTTAGTGTATGATCTTTCTAATGTAATGTCAGATCTGGTTTGCTAGAATTTTGTTAAGGATGTTAGCATCTATGTTCATCAGGGATATTGGTCTGCAATTCTCTTTCTTTGCAGTATCTTTAACTGGTTTTTGGATTAAGGTAGTGTTGGCTTCATATAAAGAGCTTGGAAGTTTACTTTCCTCTTGAATTTTTTGGAATAGCCTGAGGAGGGTAGGTTTTAGTTATTCTTTGAATGTTTGGATATTTTTGAATGAATTTTTATTGATTTCAGATAGGAAGAGAGAGAGAAACATCAATGCTGAGAGAAATCATTGTTCAGTGCCTCATGCACACCCAGCCTGTAATTTGTCATATGCCCTACCCAGGAATTGAATGGCGTCCTCTTGGTTCATAGGTCAAAGCTCACTCACAGAGCCTTGCTGGCTAGGCAGTATTATTGTTTTTATTTTATTTGTTCCACCACCATTTATTCCCTTTTTGGCTGCTTCCACCTCCACCCACTACCATAATTATTTTAAAAATCTATCTTAAATATTAGTATCATTGTCTGGAGAGAGGAAAAAAGCCTTTCTGAATACTTAATGTACCTGGTACCACATGGGAATCATAGCCTGGAGGGACAGCAGGCCTTGGATCCGTTGACTTTACTTGGCTTCCTGTTTCATCTGTAGGTTGCTCAGGGGCCGTGGGGCCTACACCTTTGGGGAGAGATAGGACACATGATTTGTAACGGAAATGACAATATGATAATAGAATACATTCATATTTTCTTGTTGGCATGCACCATTGCATCTAACCAGTAAGAAATATACTCATATTTCATATAAAAACATAATTCATAAGTATATTAGACATCAACCTATTATAATATTTCCTAGATTTTCAGGCTTAATATGGATTAAAAAACAAAATATTAAACCATTGTGCTACAATCAAAGCAAGGAACTTTCATGCTACTTTTATTTATTTAATTATTACATGTTCTGATGCTGATTCCTATCTACATTAACTTCCTTTCACATTGTAAGAAAATTCTTTTTCATAATATGTAAAGTCATATATAGAGAGGATCCGAGTTTTCATGAATCCATTTTGGAAAATTGCTGTTTAGGTAAATTCAAAACATAACAGGATAAGTACTTAGTAAATTCAAAACAGAGCATGATGCATATAAGTGGTTTAAAAGCCAGCGGTGACAGAGGTGGTTTAGTCTACATTTAAAGGGAGTCACACTCTGCCCTGAGAGACCTGTCACCCTGATTGCTTCAGGGAGTATTGAAGTCACTTTTCCTTTTGTTGAATCCAGAGAACCTTTTATTTAGACCCACTATAAGGAAAAGTTCTGACTCTCTTAACTGACTGTTATCTAAAAACAATCGAACACACACACACACACACACACACACACACACACCCACACACCATAAGCAGTGTGTTTCTCTCCTTGTAGCGTGTATGTCCTGCATTGCTTGATAATGCAGGGGCCACTTTGGAGCCCTCCTCTATGAGGGCAGGCTGCTGTCATGGGCTTTTTATTACACCTCTCTTTGCAGACTTACTTTCCTACCTTGTTCTTTACCCAAATTTCCCCACATACTTTAGAGATATTTCTACACATGTATGTCAATGTAAATCCCTTTTAACTCTTTTTGTTAAAGACAGAAAGGAATGCTCATATGTATAAATAAGTATGTATACGTACTCTCCAAATACTTAATAATAATAAAAAAACCCCACTTCAAAATGAAATTAACTTCAAAAAAAATTTTAAATCCTCACTGAGGATACATTTTTATTTTTAAAATTTTTATTATTTTCTAATTCTCACCTGAGGATATTGTCCCATTGATTTTTTTAGAGCAAGTGGGAGGAAAAGGGGGAGAAAGACACATCAATTGGATTCTTCCTCCGTGGTCCTGACTGGGAGCCAGGATCAAGCCTGCAGCCAAGGTATGTGCCTTTGCCCAGAATCAAACCAGGAGCCGTCTAATCCAAGGCCCAGCACTCTATCCAGTGAGCTACACAGGCCAGGGCAAAATCTACAGTTTTTAGGGGACGCAATCACATAATTTACATTAGAAAATAAAGCATATTAAAACTTATTCACAAAAACTTACCTGACATTTTGAAGAATTCCAAATAATCCTGAAAAATAAAACATTTCATACTTTAATAAGTGGTTACTATTAGTACTTGGTAATACATGTAATAAGTTCAGTGATTCTTTTAGCCTCCAGTTACCTTTCACTTATACCTTCATTAATTCAACAAATGTTTACTGAGCACTTATTATGTACCAGGTACTATTACAGATGGTGGAAATATAGCAGTAAACCAGATGGACGCACTGCTGGACATTATATTCTAGTGGCATGAGATTTAAGAACATGTCAACAAATATTTAAGATTAAATTAAGATAGTACAGTTATGAAGTAAAAAGTTTAAGAAAAACATGAGAGTCAGGGAACCCCTCTCTCAGAAGATGACCTTTGAACTAGGTGAACTATGAATGGAGACACTAAACAAAAAATATGGGAGGAGAGATCCAGAAAGACAGAAAAGTAAGGACAAAAGCTCTGGGTTTTTGTATTCCCAGTAATCCACTGGGTTTGGAATACTCAAGGGAGAGAAAGAAGTCATGTTTGGCTGGGACCTAGTGAATGAGTAAAACAACAACAAAACAAGACAACAAATGAAAACAGAGGTCTGATCAGACTTAAAGACTATAGCAAAATGTTTGGAATTTGTTCTAATTGCAGTGAAATGATCAGATCTGATTCATATTTTACCTTTATTTTTTCCATCACATTTTATCACCCTCATACCCTCTCCCACCTCCACCCACCCTTCTACACCTCACAACCACCACACTGTTGTCCATAGGTTCTCTTTCTTTTCTTTTCAGTTTATCTTGTTTGAGACTCTCTGTGTCTCAAACAAGATGAACTGAAAAAGACCAACACCAAGACACATAATAATTAATTTGGCAAACTCCAATGACAAAGTAAGAATATTAAAAGCAGCCAGAGAGAGACAGAAAGTTACCTACAAAGGATCCCCCATTAGACTAGTGACTGATTTATTAACAGAAACACAACAGGTCAGAAGGAAATGGAATGAAATATACAAAGGGATGCAAAGGAAGGGTCTGAATCCAAGAATACTGTACCCAGCAAGGCTATCTATCAAAATTGAGGGTGAAATCGGGAGCTTCACAGAAAAAAACGGACTAAGGGAATTTATTACCACCAAATCAGCAATTCAAGGAATGCTAAAGGGACTGCTGTAAAAAAAAAAAAAAAAAAAAAAAAAAAAAAAAAAAAAAAAAAAAAAAAGGAATAGGATGGGAAGAAGGAACACGGGGGCAAAGAATAAAAATGGCGACAAACAAGTACCTATTAATAATAAGCTTAAATGTAAATGGCTTCAATGCCTCAATCAAAAGACATAGGGTAGCTGAATAAATAAGAAAATATGACCCATATATTTGCTGTCTACAAGAGACCAATCTCAGAACAAAGGACTCTGGTGAAGGGATGAAAAAAACTATTTCAGGCAAATGGAAATAAAAACAAACCTGGGGTAGCAATACAAATATCTGACAAAATAGACCTCAAAGTGAAGGCCATAACAACGGATAAGGAAGGCCACTTCATAATACTAAAGGGATCAATACAACAAGAGGATATGACCCTGGTATGTATGTATGTATGGTATATATCTTCTGTATTGTGTGTATATATATATATATATCTCCAATACAGGAGTGCACAAATACATAGAAAGCTTTCTGTAAAAGGACACACTGACAGGAATACAATCATAGTAGGGTACTTTAATATCCCATTGACACGACTAGATAAATGCTCTAAACAAAAAATCAGCAAGGAAAGAGTAACCCTAAATGACTCACTAGATGAGATGGAATTAACTGACATCTTCAGAATATTTCACCCCAAAGCCACAGAATATACTTTCTTCTTGTGCACATGGGCCATTTTCAAAGACTGACCACATACCGAGACACAGGCAAAGCCTATTCAAATTTAAGAAGGCAGAAATCATATCAAGCATATTCTCTAGTTGCAATGGCATAAAAGTAGAAATCAACTACAATAAAAACAATAAAAAATCAAACACTTGGAGACTAAATAGCATGCTATGAAACAATGATTGGCTTACCAAAGAGATCAAAGAAGAAATAAAAAGCATCCTGGTAACAATGACAATGAAAACACAACAATCCCAAACCTATGGGACACAGTGAGAGCAGTCTTGAGAGGGAAGTTCATAGCTCTACAGGCCTACCTCAAGAAAATAAGAAAACTGGTAATGCATTATCTAACCCTACAACTCAAAGAGTTAGAAAGAGAGCAACAAGAAATGCCCCGTGGAAGCATTAGGAAGGTAATAATAAAAATCAGAGCAGAAATAAACAACATAGAGAGAAAAAAATACAAAAGATCAACAAAACCAAGAATTGGTTCTTTAAAAGTATAAAGAAGATTGATGAACCTCTAGCCAGGCTCACCAAGAAGCAAAGAGAGAGTAACCCTCCCCCCCCAAAAAAAAAAAAAAAAATCAGAAACAAAAGAGGTGAAGTAAAAACCAATCCCACATAAATACAAAGAATTATGAAAAAACTCAAGGTCCGATACATGAAAATTTATGCACTGGCAGGGGGTTCCCTCAGCCCGGCCTGCCCCCTCTCACAGTCCGGGAGCCCTCAGGGGCAAGAGGCACCCGATGATCAGGGGAAGGTGATGCCCCATCACATCTCTGCTGCTGCCACCGCTGGCAGCGCAAGCCTTGGCCGGCCCTGCTTACCTGAGCCTTGTGTGGCCCTTGATGGCTGGACTACCACCATTCCAGGCTTGCCTGCACCCCGGGCTGCCCTGGCGGGGCTGAGGAAACTGGTGCTGCCCTCTTGTGGCTGTGTGTGCTGCCATCTTTGAGGGTGTGGCAATCAATTAGCATATTACTGCCTTATAGGCTGTGGGTGCCACCATCTTTGAGGGTGGGGCATTTAATTACCCTGTTTCCCTGAAAATAAGACAGTGTCTTATATTAATTTTTGCTTCCAAAGATGCGCTAGGTCTTATTTTTAGAGGATGTCTTATTTTTCCATGAAGAAGAATATGGTACACATTCATTGTTAAATGAAAATAAAGGAAATTTATTACCTGTATAAGGTATGGTAGTACGGTAGTCGTCAACACAAACCAGACAAACTGAATCCTACAAACCCATTGGAAGTATCAAGAATTTACTCATTTATTCAATGACAATCATGTCATCTTCTGGAACATCATCATAACAATCAAATTCCTGAATTTCCTGGTGAATTTCTTGTGACTCCATTTCTTTCAGAATCAGTGGACCAAATCTCTCATGTTTAGCCTGGGGGTAGGGGTGCTTATTTTCAGGGGGATGCCTTATATTTTACTCAGAAGGAAACCTGTAAGTAGGTCTTATTTTCGGAGGATGTCTTATTTTCGGGGAAACACGGTAGTATATTACCTCCTTATTGGCTGTAAGCATTGCCATCTTTGCAACGGCATGAGGGTCAATTAGCATATTCCCTCTTTATTAGATAGGATACTATGAACAGCTCTATTCCAACAAAATGGACAACATAGATGAAATGGGCTTATTCTTAGAAAAATACAAGCTCCCAAAACCCAATCAGGAAGAATCAGAAAACCCGAATAGGCCCATAATTACTGAAGAAATTGAAGCAGTGATAAAAAATCTTCCAGTAAGCAAAAGAGTTCTTCCAAATACTGAAAGAGGAATTAAAACCTATCCTCCTCAGCTATTTCAAAAAATTTAAGAGGAAGGCACACTTCCAAGCTCTTTATATGAAACCAACACCACCTTAATTTCAAAACCAGATAAATATACCACAAAAAAAAGAGAGAGAACTACAGCCAATATCCTTGATGAACATAGATGCTAAAGTCCTCAACAAAATTTTAGCAAATTGGACCCAGCATTACATTAGAAAGATCATGCACCATGACCAAGTGGGCTTTATTCCGAGGATTCAAAGGTGATACAATATCCGCAAATCAATAAGTGTGTTACATCACATAAACAAACAGAGAGGCAAAAATCACATATTCATATCAATTGATGCAGAAAAGGCGTTTGACAAAATCCAACACCATTTCTTCATAAAAAGTCTCAGCAAAGTGGGAATAGAGAGATCATACCTCAACATAATGAAAGCCTTATATGACATACCAGCCAACATCAGACTCAATGGTCAAAAACTAAATCCATTTTCTCTGAGAACAGGAACAAGACGGGGATGCCCACTTTCTCCACTCCAGTTCAATATATTACTGAAGTGCTAACCATGACAATCAGATAAGAAGAAAAAATAAAAGACATCCAAATTGGAAAAGAAGTAAAATTGTCCTTATTTGAAGATGAGTGATACTGTACATAAAAAAATCCAAAGATTCCATCAAAAAACTATTAGACCTAATAAATGAATTCAGCAATGTAACAGGATACAAAATTAATACCCAGAAACCTATTGCCTTTTCATACACCAATAATAAACTCACAGAAGAAGAAACGAAAAAAAAAAAAATCCCATTTTCTATTGCATCAAAATATTAAAATACCTAGGAATAAACTTAACTAAGGAGGTAAAAGACCTTTATTTGGAAAACTACAGGACATTAAAAAAAGAGATAGAGAAAGACATAAACAAATGGAAAAACATACCATGTTCATGGATTGCTAGAATCAACATCATTAAAGTTTTCATACTACTCAAAGCAATCTACAGATTCAATGCCATCCCCATTAAAATACCAATGGCATATTTCAAAGATAGAGAACAAACTCTCCAAAAATTAATCTGGAATATAAAAAGACCCCAACTGCCATCCTTTTATTCAATTTGGGATACACCTTTAGTCCCGAGAAAGAGAACAAAGTTAAAAGGATCACAATACCAGATATCAAACTATTGAATATATTACAAAGCCACAGTTCTCAAAACAGCCTGGTATTGGCACAGGAAGACATATAGACCACTGGAACAAAACAGAGAACCCAGAAATCAACCCAAGCCATTCTGCTCAATTAATATTTGACAAAGGAGGAAAGGGAATGCCATGGAATCAAGAGTCTCTTCAATAAATGGTATTGGAAAAATTGGACAGATACATAAAAAAAAAAAAGAAAAAAAAGAAAGAAACTAGATCACCAACTTACACCATACACAAAAATAAACTCAAAATGATTGAAGGACTTAAATGTAAGATGGGAAACCATAAAAATATTGTAAGATTCCATAGGTGCTGGAGGCTAAGACCAGCAGGTCATAATAAATGCAAGAGGTCCTCAGAAGGCTGATGGACTTTGATATTCAGCAGGGGTGAGAATCAGAATTATATTACCTGCTGCTGGCTGAATAGCTGAAGGTAATCCCCTAATCTGATAATCCTTATCATTAATGTCTGTTTGCTTTGCTAAAGGGCAAATGTAATACACTTTTTTATTACATTTGCCCTTTTTATTTTAGTAAATAAAAAGCTAGGGAGGGCAATGTTAAAATCTGTACACAGATAATAATTTAATAAAAATAAAATAAAAAATAAATAAAAAGCTGGGGGTCCGGATATTCAGAGAGCCACTCCACTAAAGAATCATGATTTCTAAATTTATATTTCTTGTCTATTATATCCGTTTATGTCCCAGTCCCTTCTCCAGATTCCTGAACCCTCGCTGCAAAAGGTTGTGGCACATAAGCAGCAAAATATCAGACACATGTCTTATTAATGCCTTTACCAACACAGCTCCCAGGGCAATGGAGACCAAGCAGAAAATAAACAAATGGGACTACCTCAAAATAAAAAGCTCTGCACTGCAAAAGAAACCATCAACAAAACAACAAGAAAGCCCACTGCAAAAAAAAAAAAAAAAAAAAAAAAAAAAGCCCACTGCAGGGAGTGGTTATGGGGTGATCAGGTGGCAGTGGTTATGGGGTGATCAGGTATTGGCCAATGCTATCACAGTTAAGGGCGTAATCTCCAAAACTTATAGGGAATACACAGAACTTAACAAAGGAAGGTAAACAATGCATTAAAAAAAAATGGGCAAAAGACCTACACAGACACTTTTCGAAAGAGGACACAGAGAACCCAGAGACATAGGAAAACATGCCCAAAGTCACTAATCATCCGAGATATGCAAATCAAAACAAAAATGAGGTACCATCTCGTACCTGTCAAAGTGGCTATCATCAGCAAATCAACAAACACGTGCTGGTGAGGATGTGGGAAAAAAGAAACCCTGCTGCACTGCAGGTGGGCATGCAGACGGGCAGCCCCTGTGGAGCACAGTGTAGTGTAGGAAGCCGTTATAGGGCTAAGCCTCAGCTGACCTGCTGGCAAAGTCAAAAACAAGTCCTGGTTGGAGGGCACAGTTCTCTAAGTATAATTAAGCTCCATCTTGTGACTGCTCCCTAGGTCTTTCCTGGGGAGCTAATGGACTGTGGGAGGGGCAGCAAGTGCTGCCAAAACCAGTGAAACTTACAAGAACATTGTAAATTACCTTGTTTGTCCCTGACTATAAATAGAGCATTGACTTTGCAGTCTGGATCTACTCTGTGGCCTCAGCAGGCACAGAAGATCCACCCAAGCCAGCTTTTCTCTTTGTCTATCATTTCTCCATCTTTCGTTGTCCCCGCTCAGGCTTGTGAACTCTTGGCTGTGCTGGCGTGGCCCAGTATAGATTTCCTCATAAAGTTAAAAATGGAACTCCCATTTAACCCAGGAATCCCACTTCTAAGAATATATCCAAAGAAACCCAAAATATCAATCAGAAAGGATATATGCACCCCTATGTTCATGGCAGTACAAGTTACAATAGCTAAGCTTTGGAGACAGCCTAAGTGCCCATCAGCAGAGTGGATTAAAACCCTGTGGTACGTCTACATTAGGGGTGTCGAACTCAGAGAAGGGGCCAAAATCTAAAATCCAGCCTAAATCATGGGCCGAATGGTTTACTGAACAGTCATAAACTGTCATTGTGATGGAAACGCAGCGGAGTGCAGTGATGACAGCGCGGTGCGGGCCACATTGCAAGGCCTGACGGGACGGATTTGGCCCACGGGCCTTGTGTTTGACACATGTGGTCTACATAATGGAATACTATCCTATCTAATAAAATTAGCCATCACTCCGCTATACCCACAAGCCATGCCCACCAGTCAATCAGGAGCTAATGTGCAAATAAACCCAACCAAGATGGCTACGGCCACAGAGAGCAGGAGGAAGGCATGGGTTTCCCCGGCAATGGAGGAAGCCAAGCTTTCCACCTGCCCTTGCCGGCCTAGGCCCCCACTCAAGGCTACGAAGTTTCAATGATAGAAGATACATAAATCCAAACAGAAATGGTGGCAGCCACGGAGCAAGAAGAGTAGGAGGCTAGGGTTGCCCCCCACGAGGGAGGAAGCTAAGCTTTCCACCCACCTTGGCTGGCCCAGGCCTCTGCTTAAGGTTACAAAGTTTCAACTGAAGAAGAAAAATAAACCCCAAATACCAGGGCCTCCTCTTGGGTCGCCAGGGGGCGTGGCCAGCCTGCAAACCACCACAGGCCCTCCGCCCAGGCTGCCCCATGTCCCAAGAGAACCCCCACTCTGATCTGGGACACCCTTCAGGGCAAATCAGCTGGCCCCCACTCATGCACTGGGCCTCTATCCTAGCTAATAAACTAATATGCAGATTGACCATCACTCCAACACACAAGATGGCTGTCCCCAAGTGGACACAAGATGGCCAGCAGGAGAGGGCAGTTGGGAGAGACCAGGCGTTCAAGGGAGGGCAGTTGGGGGCGATCAAACCTGCAGGGGAGGGCAGTTAGGGGTGACCAAGCTGGCAGAGGAGGGAAGTTGGGGACGACCAGGCCTGCAGGGAAGGGCAGTTGGGAGGGAGCAGTTGAGGGGACCAGGCCTACAGAAGAGGGCAGTTCGGGGTGACCAGACCTGCAGGGGAGGGCAGTTAGGGGCAAACAGGCTGGTAGGGGAGCAGTTAGCCATTAATCAGGCTGGCAGGGGAGTGGTTAGGGGGTGATCGGGCTGGCAGGCAGAAGCGGTTAGGGACAACCAGGCAGGCAGGCAGGTGAGCAGTTGGGAGCCAGCAGTCCTGGATTGTGAGAGGGCTGTCCGACTGCCTGTTTAGGCCCAAACCCACTGGGATCAGCCCTAAGCAGGCAGTTGGACATCCTTTGAGGGGTCCCAGATTGGAGAGGGTGCAGGCTGAACTGAGGGACACTCCTCCCCCCCCATGTTTCCCCCACTCCCTGCACGAATTTCGTGCATCAAGTCTTTAGTCAACATAAAAAATATATTAAAAAATAAAATATATGGTTATCAAATATCAGCTTTTTAAAAAATATATATTTTATTGATTTTGTACAGAGAGGAAGGGAGAGAGATAGAGAGTTAGAAACATCGAGGAGAGAGAGTCATCAAACAGCTGCCTCTTGCACACCCCTTACTGGGGATATGCCCACAACCAAGGTACATGCCCTTGACCAGAATCGAACCTGGGACCCTTCAGTCCCCAAGCTGACGCTCTATCCATTGAGCCAAACCGGTCTTGGCTATCAGCTCTACTTTTATTCTCAAACCTGTCTCTTCAGTTTCATTGATTTCAGTAAATCTGCTCCCTCTTTCTTTTATTACTTTTTAATTACTATAGCTAGTTTTATAATACTTTTTATTATGTATTAAAGTCTCCACATATATGCATATTTTCTTTTAATTGAAATCTTTGCACATGAGCTAAATAGTTGTTTTAAAACAATCAAAAATTCAGTTTGAAATTTAATTTATACATCTTTAGAGAAATGCTGTCTTTACTTATAAAGATACACTCTTATATACATAATGTATTTTCATATGACCCCAGAGTATTATATCTTTAAATAGGTTTTTCACTTTTGTGTTCATGCCAAACTGAATGGTTTATTCGTCCTATTGTATTTTCTAATTTATAAACATCACACTCAGTGAGAACTGTAAGTACACACTGGTTAGTAAATTCTTTGATTTTTTTCTAGGAGATTTTCAGTTGTTTTCCTGTAGACATCCAACCACATTAGGTGTAAAAAATATTAATTCTGCCTTTTTTGCTAACCAGAATGTCAATATGCTCTTCTGCTTAATGCCACTGGCCTATAACATTCACAGCATGTGCTGAGCAGATTGGCTTTCCCAAATTTAATGGAAATTATTTTACTATTTCAAGATGACCATGGAAGATTTATGTTTTTATTCCAACTATCTCCACACCCAACTTAAAGGACTGAATCCATACCCTTTTAAGTAGGTGGGAAATCAGCTTTCCTGCATCACAGTTTTAGTGGCTACATTTCAAATATACGATGTAAATTAAAAATTCACTTAAAGTGTGCATCCTAAGATAAGCAAAACCATAAAATAAATGAAAGGAAAACCCAAGTTCTGAAATATAAGTCTTACTTTCTGGAAACAACGCGCATCCGGCCGGAATGAACCTCATCTCCCCCTTTGCTCACATTGCTAACGGGAGACAGGGGTCCCCCGGGTAACGGGACCCTCCGCCCCGCTTAAAGACGCGACCATCACCCGACCTGCCAGTCCGCCTGTCCCACTTCGCGGGGGCCACGCGGAGGGGATGCCCTCGTGCAGGCGGGGTGCCCCGGTGCGGGCGGAGTGCCCCCCCCCCGCAGGCGGAGTCCCTGGCGGGAGGCCTGCGGGAGCCTCCCGGGGACCAGGCGGCGGGCGCGCAGCAGCTCAGCTCCCGCAGCGCGTCCCTCCGGGCCCAGGGCCCCCGCAGGCGGCCTCTCCCCGCTCCGCACCCGCCCGCCTCCCTCGTGGGGCCCGGCCCGCTCCCTCACCGACTGCTCCGCTCTCGCTCCGTCGGGCGGGATCGGACTTTCCCAGAGGAAGGCTGAGGGCGGCGGGAGCAGAGGGAGAGGAGGGTGTTTCCTGCAAAAACAACCAGGGCGTGGCGGGAGGCGGCCTGGAGCGGTGGCCACTCCTAGGGTGGACACCCTGCCCTCCGCCCCGCCCCCGTCCCCCAACCTTCCCTTCCCCAACCCCTTCACACACACACACACACACACACACACACACACACACACACAGAGACACACACAGAGACACACACACACAGGCACACACACAGACACACACAGACACACACACAGGCACACACACAGGCACACACAGGCACACACAGGCACACACACAGACACACACAGGCACACACCCCACCCCGCTCAGACTTCGCCCCGCGGGGAGCCCCAAGGGTGGGATTGGCCTCCAATTACAGGCCCGGGGCGGGGAGGTGAAGACAAAGGAGCTGCATCCGCTGTGACTGGAAGTCCTAAGCAAGTTAGGGGTGGCGGCTGGTCAGGGACAGGCAGGCTCCAGAGCTCTAAGGCCGTGGTCGGCAAACTCATAGTCAGCAGAGCCAAATATCAACAAGGCAACGACTGAAATTTCTTCGGAGAGCCAAATTTTTAAAAACTTAAACTTCTTCTACCGCCACTTCTTCAACATAATCTAGCCCAGGCCGCGGTATTTTGTGGAAGAGCCACATTCAAGGGACCAAAGAGCCGCATGTGGCTCGAGAGCTGCAGTTTGCCCACCAGTAAGGGAAGGGCTCTGCTAGGGGCTCAGAGAAACCATTGCCCTTGGCACCTGCTCAGACCACACGCCCTTGGCTGTGCAGGCTGGGCTGAAACTTGGGTGCCGGCCCGGGCTCTCCCCCAGGACCGAAGGCTGCCAACGGGCTGGGGAAGGGCCTGGGAGAGGGCAGCGAGCGGGATGCCTGTGTTTTCTGACATTTGGTGCAAAATGCCATTGGGCAATTGCCCTCCTTAGGCACAAAACCCTTTGCAAACTGATGGGGTGAGGCCTGTGGTGGTCCCTGGGCGGGTGGGGGTGGGGGAGCACGGGAGCTGGGAGAGTGTTAGTGTCCCTGACCTTATGAAGGATTAGGCCGGGCAAATGAGTAAGCAAGTTAGATTGAGCTCAGAGGAGTATTTGGCAGGGCTCTGCTATGGGAGACGTTTGGATAGGACTCCATGGTCGGCAAACTGCAGCTCTCGGGCCACATGCGGCTCTTTGGCCCTTGAGTGTGGCTCTTCCACAAAATACCATGGCCTGGGCGAGTCTATTTTGAAGAAGTGGCGTTAGAAGAAGTTTAAGTTTAAAAAAATTTGGCTCTCCAAAGAAATTTCCGTCGTTGTACTGTTGGTATTTGGCTCTGTTGAATGGTGAGTTTGCCAACCACTGGGATAGGTGAAGGCATGTGGGAGTGGAGCTCTGGGATTTCCTGTTTTCTTTTGTTTTAGGATATTTGATAGTATGCCTGTGAGAATAGATTTTTTAAAATTCATACTGTATTTTTCAGTAATGATTGCACAGAACATTACCTAAGTAGAGGGCTAGTGTTATATTGAAAGCATAAAACAAACTGGTGTCAAAACTACAGTAAAAATTGATACTAAATGTTTAGTAGCTTTGTTTTTACTTCATAAGCATGATCAAGAATTTGAGCTCATGAATTCAAACATACACAATATCCACGTGAAAGATGACAAAAAAGTTCAAGAGCAAAATATATCTCTTGAAACATTGCTTTGGGGATAAGGAAATGATTGAAAGTATGTCATATGCCCAAATCATAAAGTTTGAAAGCAAGTAGAATCGTTAAAAACCCTTGTTTGTCTTTCTAAAATTCCTGATCTGAAATCATTTCAACTTGAATACTTCAGGGATGACAAATTCACTATGTTTGTACCAATTCTATTTTTAGTTGCTCCTTAGTTACATCTCTTTGCAGTAATTTCCTTTTACTGTTTTTTCTCACATTACTACAGTTGGCTTAGAGTTAATATTGCAGCTTGCCATATAAAATAATAAATTTGCAAGAGCACTTTTTGGTTTTTCAATCCTATGTACCATTGCCATTGCTATGTTTCACTTGCACACAAATTATAAGCTACATAATAAAATATCATATTTTGCTAAAGCAGTCAGTTGTCTTTACTGATATGAAAAGAAGAAAAAATAGAGCTTTTATATTTGCCCAAATATATACAATTATATGGCCTTTTTATTTTTTATTGTAGATAAAGTTTTATCCATTGTCATTTCCCTAAGGTTAGAGAATTTCCTTTAGTATATTTTGTACTGTATTATAGCTGGAAATAAATTCTCTCAGCTTTTTTTTTTTTTAATCTGAAAATACTTTTTATTTTATATGAATTTTTAAAATTGTGTCTTCACTATGTAAAGAATTTTGGGTGGACAGATTTTTCTTTTTCACAATGAGTTTTGACTTCCATTTTTATCTATGGGATTCACAATACTGGTTTTAAGATTAACTTTAAAAAAACACACATTAAATCCCCATTGACCAGCTCCAGCCCACCCGCACACCCTGAGCCAGGCCTCTCCCCCTTGCTGTCTGTGTCCATGGTTATATGCATATGCACACATAATCTTTGGCTGATCACCTCCCACAGCCCTGCTTCCCCCTTCCCTCTGAGGTTCCGCACTCTGTTCCAAGCTTCCATGTCTCTGGATCCATTCCGTTCATCAGTGCATTTTGTTCATTAGATTCCATACATGAGTGAGATCAAGTGATGCTTGTCTCCCTCTGACTGACTTCACTCAGCATGATACTCTCCAGGTCCCTCCATGCTGCCTCAAAGGGTAAGAGATTCTACTTTTTTACATCTGCATAGTGTTCCATGGTATGGATGTACCAGAGCTTTTTACCACTCATCTGGTGTACCACTCATCTACAGATGGGCACCTGGACCTGATCTTAGCTGTTGTAAACTGTGCTGCTATGAACATACACTCTTTCTGATTGGTGTATGCAGAAAAGGTGCATACACTCTTTCTGATTGGTGTTTCCTGTTTCTTAGGATATACTAGAGGCCTGGTGCATGGAAATTCTATAATCCAAACTTAATCATTATATACACATCAAAGACAATATAATTTATTAATTTTTCGAGGATAGTTGTGCCCAAGATTAGAACACATATTTTTGTATTATACATTATTTTCTTTTTTTAGCTCCTTTGACACAGCAAGACTTTGTGTGAGCACGTATGTATGTCCTGGAATCATGTTTACAGCTTCTATGGACGTTAACATTCTCGAGAGCTTGGGAGCGAGGCCCTCAGCCCGGGGCAGCCAGCACAGGCACACCCGCCTGCTGGCATCACGTTCGGCAGGCAGGCTGAGCAGGAAAGGGGGACCGTGGGTTGTTCGAAACGCTATCTTTCTGACCCTGATCAACGGGCGTCCCTACGGGCGCACAGGGCGTTTTGTGCAGGAGACTCCAGCTTCAGAGGGAGCCTGTATGGCTGCAGCCCGTGTCCCCTCAGGCTGGTCTGCTCTCACGGAACACAATGAAAGCAGCACGGCCGGGTGGGGAACTGAAAACACAGACTGTCAGGGCCGCGGCCCAGACCGCGGGGGGAGCTCAGGCTCAGGAGAGCAGGCGTGGAGCCTGCGGGCCAGCCGCGGCCCTGGCGCCCGCTGGGAGGGTGAGGCCTGCGGGGGTGCGGAGGGTGGAGGGTGAGGGGGGTGGTCAGGTGGGGGTGAGGGGTGGGGAGGCCATGTGGGAGCTGGGGCTGGGGAAGCCAGTTGGAGTTGCTGTAGCAACAATACCAGAGACGTGCGTCCTACACAGCAAGAGGCTTCCTCTCTGTCCTGGGGCCCAGGCCCAAGAGCAGGTGCTGCAGACGGAGGCCAGAGGTCCCGCTTCCGGTTCGGGGCTGCTCTCTGCTCTGGGGGAGAGAGCTCAGCTTCCTGTCCCTGTGATATGTAAATCCAGTCAAGCATCAGGAATGCTAGGGCCTACTTAAGAATGTAAATAGCTCCTTTGATCCTATGTTTTGGTGACACTTCCTGGTATGTGGGGTATAAAATAAATGCGCTGTGTGGGCTCAGGGTCCTGTCCCTCCACGAGAGTGGCAGCATCCCAACCGGCTCCCAGCTTTGTAAGTCTATCTCTGCGTCTTTCTATTTTTCTTTCTTTTATTTTCTCAATCCCTGGCCACCTCCACTTAGAACTGGTTCATTCATCTCTTTTTCCGTGCTGCACTTGGAACAGGGAGATCCCTGCCATATCTGGTCCCGCCGCATCTGGCCCCACAGGAAGGGAGAGGGATAGAGAGAAACATCAATGAGAGAGAAATGTCAATCAGCTGCCTCCTGCACAACCCCTACTGGGAATATGCCTTGACCAGAATCGAACCTGGGACCATCCGCAGGCTGATGCTCTATCCACTGAGCAACATGGGCCAGTGCTCCATTTCTTCTTAAGGCTGAGGAATATTTCGTTGTTTAGATGGACCGTTCATTCACCATTATTTCTGCCTTTTGTGCCCTGTGAGCGATGCTGCTTGAACACAGGGGTGTTCCTTTAGTGCTGGCCATGGCCCCTCCTAATGCACTGCTGGCCCAGGGACCAAGCGTCGCCTTCAGCCCCTTACATACATACCTGCCGACCAGGTGCCCTGGCACACAGCCGGCAGGCCTCCCCGTCACCTGCTTTGCCCCCGCCGTGCCTGGTGTGGCATGACCTCCATCTGTGTCCTTGTCCGGCCCCCCTCCCTGCTCCAGTGCTACCTGCTTTCTGGAACCCTGGCTCGGCCCCCCGTCTCCAGGTCTGCACTTACCCCCTGGCTCCTGTTAAGGAGCTGCCTCTGCTGCTGGGTGTGCCGGGGTGGGGTCCCTGAGGCCGTGACCCAGCCCCGTTTCCTCTCACAGCCATCCAGACGACGGCTGTGCTGGCAGCACAGAGTTCAGCATCAAACCAACTGAAGCTTACAACAAAGCTAATCAAACATGAGCTTCATTACATGCACCATGCTCGTTATGCCACTGGGTAATTAGGCATGAATGATAAGCAGCTCCAAGTGACTATAATGAGTTTTATTGTGGTGGGGACCACCAAGCATTTCTGAAGTGGCAATTGGCTGTGTGGGTGCGTGTGCATACATGTGTG